TGTTAGGGGTACAGGGTGATCTGTCCTAATACTGGGGGGGCTTTGTCTCAGACTGTGTAGACATGTTTAGGAGATAGGTGGGGTGGGGGTTGTTGATTGTTTAATGCCATGTGGTTGCATCCCATTGTTCTATTGTGTGTCTTGCTTGGGAGCAAACTATTATGGGATGTATGTGTTTATGTGTATTGGCTTGGTGGGGGGTGTCTCCAGCAGCCCTCCCTCCTGATGGGACTGTCTGCTGGTGTGAAGTTGGAATACCTGTGTGTCTCTTGCTACTAAATTTAGATTGCCCCACCCTGTGTCATTATGCAGGGAGGGGGGATTGTCCCCTGAGTGTATATATCTTGTATCTGTGTTCAAATAAACTAGTCTACTACCTGGTTTACTTCAAGACTGGTGTCGTCTAGTCTTGTATGGTCTGCTGTGGTGTCGTCTAGTCGTAGTCTAACGGAAGTACCCAAACACAGTCTGGGGTTGGTTCTGTTACACCCCCCTTCCCACCTCACATGATACCACAGTGCCCAGGGCAGCTGCCCCTCCTGCCCACCCCTTATCCAGGCCCTGCCTGCACCTGATTAAATGGATCCTGAGGGGACCCCATCTCTAGGCAGCCAATAGAAAGTGTCCACACCTGAAGAAGGACCCTTCTCCTTTGCAGTGAAGGAGAGGATAGAAGACATGGGATCTCCTGCAGCAAGTTCTCATATCAACATCTGCTGGCACTCATATTCCTCCTGTCCCTTGGTACTCTCTGTTTCCACGTTCAGTGGGACCTTGGATGGAGATACAAGAGGGAGGCCGACCTCGTAATCTCAGTCTCCTATCAGGTACGTGGCATGTTGTCTTTGTGAGAAAGTCCAGCTATAAACCCCTCTTTTCTTCAAAGCTTAAACAATAACCCGCTCTCTATATCCAGTACACATTATACAGCCTCTGTGTCTTCATTCTGCCAATTGAAGGCTAATCTCCATGCTTAATGTCCCTTTAAATAGTTGGTCTGGACCAGGTGAAGCCTTGAAGATGACAGCTCATCGGTAACAGGTAAAGGCAACGTGTTTCAGGGGAAATGCCATCCCCTTCCACCATATGCCATGCCACAGCTTCTAACAGACCTCCTGCCCACCCCTTATCCGGGCCCTGCACCTGCCTAAATGGATCCTGAGAGGACCCCATCTCTAGACAGCCAATAGGAAGTGTCCACACCCGAAGAAGGACCCTCCTCCTTTGCATTGAAGGAGAAGATAGAGGACATGGGATCTGCTGCAGCAAGTTCTCCTATCAACATCTGCTGGCACTCATATTCCTCCTGTCCCTCGGTACTCTCTGTTCCACGTTCAGTGGGACCTTGGATGGAGATACAAGAGGGAGGCCGACCTCGTAATCTCAGTCTCCTATCCTATCAGGTACGTGGCATGTTGTCTTTGTGAGAAAGTCCAGCTATAAACCCCACCTGCATAAATGGATCCTGAGAGGACCCCATCTCTAGACAGCCAATAGGAAGTGTCCACACCCGAAGAAGGACCCTCCTCCTTTGCAGTGAAGGAGAAGATAGAGGACGTGGGACCTGGCATGTCATGTGACCACACATTTAGGCAAGTAAATGGGGCTTTTTAGTATTTTTTTTTTTTTACTTTTTGGGTTAATGGGGGGTTAAATCTTTACTTTACAATGTTCATTTCCAGCTCTGACTTTGTTAAATGAAATGTTTGCTGTCCTTGTTTCCTTGGGTGTTACGTTCCGTGCCTTCCGCAGTCAATTCTTTTTAATGGATTTAAATGATGTCTTCCACTGGGCTGCCTTTTCAGAGAAGACAGATGCTCGCACTAGTTCTCAATACAGAGTTCACTTGTGCCAAGCAGCTCATCTTGTCCCGGTAATCTATCATGCCTCCGACGCTATTAAATCTTTAAAACGCACCATTTTCCATCCTACTTCCAATTTTTTTTTTTTTTTTTTTAACAAGCGCATTTCTAAATATGTGTTCTTGGACGGGCCTGGAGGCCATAAAAGAAAAAAAAAAAAAAAATGGCAGCATTTTGGATCTCGATAAAAGGTCGGGGTTTTCTGACGTGGCAGCGGCCATAGATCACAGGAACGAGCGTGTCAAGGAATAAAACATTTTAATGTGAAAGTTGCCATCTTCATTTTTCTTCGGTTGATGTGGACGATCGGCCTTAAGTTTCGTTGTAAACACTGACCGAAAACAAGACCGGGAGCCGTAAATCAGTCGAATGTCTGGCGGGCAGAATATCATCGATAGGAAGAAGCAGATATTGTGTTACCAACATCTAACATTCGTTAACCCCTCGCCTACCGGGCACTGGCACCCCCTTCCTGCCCAGGACAGCTCTGTTGCACTGTGAATGACAATTGCGCGGTCATGCAACACTGTACCCAAACTAAATTTGTATCATTTTTTTGAGACAGAGGTGGTATTTAATCACCACTGGGGGGGAGGGGATATTTTTTGCTAAACAAACAAAAAAAGACCAACTTAAAAAAAAAAAAAGTTTTTCTTAGTTTCTGTCAAAGTTTTGTAAATAAGTGATTTTCCTCCTTCAATGACGGGCACTGATAAGGCTGCACTGATGGGCACCAATAGGCTGCACTGATGGGCACTGATAGGCTGCACTGATGGGCACTGATGTGGAGGTACTGATGGGCACTGATAGGCTGCACTGATGGGCACTGATGAGGAGGCACTGATGGGCACTGATAAGCTGCACTGATGGGCACCATTAGGCTGCACTGATGGGCACCAATAGGCTGCACAGGTGGACACTGATGAGGAGACACTGATGGGCACTGATAAGGCACTGATGGGCAATACTGATGGACACTGATAGGCGGCACTGATGGGCATTCATAGGTGGCACTGATGGGCACTGTTGGCCACACTGATGGGCACTGATGGGGCTACACCAATCATCAGGGCACTGATGGTCAGTTTAGATGTCCCCTTGAGAAATGCAGCTTATCGGCGTGAGGAGAGGACTGTCAATAACCGGCATCTCCTCTTTACACTGTGATCAGTTGTGATTGAACACAGCTGATCACATGGTAAAAGGCAGCTCTGGTTGGCCCTTTACTTGGACATGTGGTCAACTGCGATTGGGAGAGGGTGTGTTCAAGAGGCAGGCTGTGATTGGAAGGGGGTGTGTTCAAGAGGCAGGCTGTGATTGGGAGGGGGGTGTGCCAAAGGCCAGCTGTGATTGGGAGGGGGAGGTGTGCTAGAGGCAAGCTGTGATTGGGAGGGGGTGTGTGCCAGAGGAAGGCTGTGATTGGAAGGGGGGGTGCCAGAGGCAGGCTGTGATTGGGAGGGGGAGATGTGCTAGAGGCAGGCTGTGATTAGAAAGGGTGTGTGTACCAGAGGCAGGCTGTGATTGATAGGGAGTGTGTGCCAGAGGCAGGCTGTGATTGGAAGGGGGGTGCCAGAGGCAGGCTGTGATTGGGAAGGGGTGTGTTCAAGAGTCAGGCTGTGATTAGAAAGGGGGTGTGTGCCAGAGGCAGGCTGTGATTAGAAAGGGGGTGTGTGCCAGAGGCAGGCACAGCTGATTGGGAGGGGGTGTGTTCAAGATACAGGCTGTGATTGGGAGGGGGTGTGTTAAAGAGGCAGGTTGTGATTGGGAGTGGGTGTGTTCAAAAGACAGACTGTGATTGGGAGGGGGTGTGTTCAAGAGACAGGCTGTGATTGGGAGTGGGTGTGTTCAAGAGGCAGGCTATGATTGGGAGAGGGTGTGTTCAAGAGCCAGGCTGTGGTTGGGAGGGGGTACATTCAAGAGGCAGGCTGTGATTGGGAGGGGGTGTGTGCCAGAGATTGGCTGTGATTGGGAGGGGGTGTGTGCTAGAGACCAGATGTGATTGGGAGGGAGTGTGTGCCAGAAGCCAGCTGTGATTGGGAGGGGGTATGTTCAAGAGGCCGGCTGTGATTGGGAGGGGGTGTGTGCCAGAGGTAGGCTGTTATTGGGAGGGGGTGTGTTCCAGAGGCAGGCTGTGATTGGGAGGGGGTATGTTCAAGAGGCCGGCTGTGATTGGGAGGGGGTGTGTGCCAGAGGTAGGCTGTTATTGGGAGGGGGTGTGTTCCAGAGGCAGGCTGTGATTGTGTGGGGGTGTGGTAGCTGAACAAACGCCCCAATCCAGGCATGCTGTGTGTGTGCACAGTGTCCTGTGCCTCTGAATATCCAGCCAAAGGATAGAAAATGACCACAGCAAACACAGATCAGCTTCTGTACTTTGTGTGGTCAGTTTAGAACAAGAAAGAAAGGCGACTGGCAGGATCAACCAGGTACTTCAGATGGAGGACGGACATAAAAATGATAAAGACTGTAAATTATAAAATACAGGTAGATAAAAAAAAATATTTAGGGTAACTTATACTTACGCTATAAGCTATAACGGCTCTGTGAGCCGCGTTTGGTAGTGAATGGGTCCCCAATTCCCCTCCCCCCACATGCAATGGTCTTATAAAAAATAGGTTTTAGACACTTTTTTTTACACTCTTCCTTCACTACTGACACCAGTCACATGTAACGATAAATGAAAAGACAAAAGCTGGATCTTCATCTGCTATTAGAACTGGAAACCACGAAAAAAGTCTTGCAGGCACTTTACACAATCGTCTCAAAAACAAAAGTTCTATTGATTCCATCGCAGCGAAGTACTTATAGTACATTAGGTTTTCTTAGGAGAACAATGGCGGGATATTAAGATAGAAACAAATCATTGCGAAGCGTTGGTTACATTGTATTGTTCAGACCCGTTCTTCGCTCTAGCTGCTACAATTAGATATTGTGACTTTCCAGCATTTTTTTTTTAGATCCTGGCGTTCCATTATAGTCATTTTCTATGGGCTTGCTGGTGCTATTTTTTTTTTTTTTTTTTTTTTTAAGGAAATGTCTATTGTTTTTGATTTTTGTTGATTGTTTTATGTGGAAAAAAGCAATCATTTGTAAGACAGACTTTGAGATATTTATACCAGGCAGGGGCGGACTGACAACTCATGGGGCCTTCGGGCAATAGGGGATCATGGGGCCCCTGTGTCCTTGCCCAAACTCAACAAAGCCTATGATAAAGGTACCAGGGGCATCTCATGGGGCCCCCTACTGACCCCGGGCCCGAGTTTCCAAATGGTCAGTCCGCCCTTGATACCAAGGTACCAGAAATGGAACCTTATGTATTAGTTCATGGCAGGGGCGGACTGACCATTTGGAAACTCGGGCCCGGGGTCAGTAGGGGGCCCCATGAGATGCCCTTGGTACCTTTTTATCATAGGCTTTTTTGAGTTTGGGCAAGGACACAGGGGCCCCATGATCCCCTATTGCCTGGAAGCCCCATGAGTTGTCAGTCCGCCCCTGGTTCATGGAAAAGAACTCAATGAAAATGTTTGGCAGGGACAATGCAATGGCTTTGAGGTCATCTGTGGACTTTGAGCCTTCTATCCCATTCCATTACTATTACAGGCGTACCTCGGTTTACGAACGCCTCGGTGAACATAATTTTCGGTTTACGAATGAAAATCCATTGAAAATAATGCCTCGGTTTATGAATTATTTTCACAATAAGTAGTTTTGCATTTAAAATTTTTTTTAAATTATGTCCCTGTACAGTATTTATGCCTTTAAAGTGTACTTTATGAAGAGTTTTGAACAGATAAGACTTTTCTTTACATTTTTCTGACCTCCAGAACGGATTAATTGGTTTTCAAAGCATTGACAATTTTTTTTTTTCGCAATACGAACAGATTAATTGGTTTTCAGTGCATTTACAAAATTTTTTTTGAATTATGTCCCTGTACAGTATTTATGCCTTTAAAGTGCACTTTATGAAAGAGTTTTGAACAGATAAGACTTTTCTTTACTTTTTTCTGACCTCTGGAACAGATTAACCACTTTCCGTCCGGCCCATGTACATAAACAGCCGGACGGGATCAGTGCAGGGGTGGGTGGTCATTTATAAACATCCTCCCTGCTTGTACGCGCTCCCTGGGAGCGTGCAGTACCACGATCGGGTGCCCGCTGTGTCCGGAACACCGATCACTGTGTAAACCACTTGCCGTCCGGCCACTGTATATAAACGGCCGGACGATGGCAGTCCAGGGGCGGGTTCCCGTTCATAAATGGTGCCCGCCATTTTGGACTGTGTGCGCTCCCTGGGAGCACGCAGCACTGCGATCTGGTGCCCACTGTGTCCCGATCGTTGTACGGGACCTCTGTGTGGGGTCCTGATTATGTGATCACTGATTGGCCAATCAGTGATCACATGAACAGTAGTAAGCAAGATGTCACTTCCTGACATAATTGCTTACTACAGTACATGTGAAATCTGTGAATGATCACAGAGATCACATGGTACAGGGTTATTCACAACAGCCTTGTACCATGTGACAAACTGTGACCAATCACAGCTCACACAGTATTTCTCAATGGCTGCAAGAATGCAGCCAGAGAGAAGGAGAAATGATTGCTTTTACAGCCTTTATGGGTGTAAAAGCAATCAGTGTAAAAAAAAAAAAAAAAAAAAAATCTTCATCACCCCCCACAAGTAGTACAGTGTCACCATGGTGACCCCACACTGCTAGGGTGACAGTATGTTAAAAAAAAACATAAATAATACTATAAAAAAATTTTTGGTTATAAACTAATTTGGGTTATTTTTTATTAAAAAGATAACTGAATACATTTTGGCCAATATTTATGAAGAAAAATTATTTGCAAAATTTTATAAGAAAAACTCTTTTTTTTCTAAATTTTCGGATTTTTCATTTATATAGCAAAAAAAAAAATTAAAATCCCAGCGGTGAATAAATACTGCCAAAATAAAGCTTTATCTGTCTCAAAAAAATGCTAAGAAATTCATATGGGTACAGTGTTGCATGACCCCGCGCAATTGTCATTCAAAGTGTGATAGCGCTGAAAGCTGAAAACTGGCCTGGACTGGAAGGGGGGGAAAGTGTCCGGACTGGAAGGGGGGAAAGTGTCCGGACTGGAAGGGGGGGAAAGTGTCCGGACTGGAAGGGGGGGAAAGTGTCCGGACTGGAAGAGGGGGGAAAGTGTCCGGACTGGAAGGGGGGGAAAGTGTCCGGACTGGAAGAGGGGGAAAGTGTCCGGACTGGAAGGGGGTGAAAGTGTCCGGACTGGAAGGGGGTGAAAGTGTCCGGACTGGAAGGGGGGGAAAGTGTCCGGACTGGAAGTGGTTAATTGGTTTTCAATGCATGTCTGATTTTTTTTTTAATCATGTCCCTGTACAGTTCTTATGCCTTTAAAGTGCACTTTATAAAGAGTTTTGAACAGATAAAACTTTTTTGACTTTTTTCTGACTTCTGGAACGGATTAATTGGTTTTTCAATGCATTTATAACTCCGCCCTAAAATTACATCACCAATCTTGTCTCCAAATATCACCCAAACCGTCCTCTCTGCTCCTCCCACGACTTCCTGCTGTCTAGCTCCCTTGTCTCCTCCTCCCATCCTCATCTCCAGGACTTTTCCAGATCTTCCCCCATCCTCTGGAACTCTCTACCCCAATTTATCAGACTATCGCCTACTCTGCTCACTTTTAGGCGATCTCTGAAAACCGATCTCTTCAGGGAAGCCTATCCTGCCCTCAGCTAATAATGGGATCTTCTATTCCTCCTACCAGTCCATCCCCCACAGTTACTACCTTTTGTACCACTAGCCCCTTCTTCCTTGATTGTAAGCTCCCAGGATCAGGGCCCTCCTAACCCTCTTGTATTGATCTGTATTGTTGCTGTATTGTCTCCCGTTATAATGTACAGCGCTGAGCAAACTGTTGGTGCCATAAATCCTGTATAATAATAATTTACTAATTAATTTTTAATCATGTCCCTGTACAGCATTTATGCCTTTAACCCCTTCCAGTCCAGGCCAATTTTCAGCTTTCAGCGCTATCACACTTTGAATGACAATTGCGCGGTCATGCAACACTGTACCCATATGAACTTTTTTTGTATTTTTTTGAGACAGATAAAACTTCATTTTGGTGGTATTTATTCACCGCTGGGATTTTTATTTTTTTTTGCTATATAAATGAAAATGTCCAAAAAAAATTTTTAAAAAGTTTTTTCTTATAGAATTTTGCAAATAAATAATCTTTCTTCATACATCTTGACCAAACTTTATTCGATTATCTTTTTAGTAAAAAAAAAAATAACCCAAATTAGTTTATAACCAAAAATTATAATTTAAAAAAAAAAATGTTTACATTTGTATTTTATTTTTTCTATATTATTATTTATGTGTTTTTTTTTACATACTGTCACTGTGCTACTTGTGGGGGGTGATGAAGATTTTTTTTTTTTTACACTGATTGCTTCTACACCCATAAAGGCTGTAAGAGGAATCATTTCTCCTCTCTGGCTGCATTCTTGCAGCCATTGAGAAATACTGTGAGAGCTGTGATTGGTCACAGCTTGTCACATGGTACAAGGCTGTTGTGAATGGCCCTGTACCATGTGACCTCAGTGATCATTCACAGATTTCACACGTAGTAAGCAATGATGTCAGGAAATGACATCTTGCTTACTACTATTCCTGTGATCACTGATTGGCAAATCACTGATCACATGATCGGGACCTCGCACAGAGGTCCTGTACAACAATTGGTGTTCCACTGTGTTCTCTGGGCACCCGGATCGCGGTGCTGCGCGCTCCCAGGGAGCGCGCGCAAGCAAGGGGCGGGGGAGGCCGTTTATAAATGGCCACCCGAACCTGCACTGCCACCGTCTGGCCGTTTATATACATGGGTCGGAGGGGAGGTGGTTAAAGTGCACTTTATAAAGAGTTTTGAACAGATAAAAGACTTTTTTTTTATTTTTTCTGACCTCGGGAACGGATTAATTGGTTTTCAATACATTCCTATGGGAAACCACATCTCGGTTTCCGAATTTTTTGAAATAAGAAAAAGTCCCGCAGGACGCAATAAATTCGTAAACGCCTGTATATGAAACGAAAATAACAATGCGTATAGAAGGACTCTCGGTACTCCATTGACAGACTCCAATTCAGAGCTAAATACAATTTTATTGCGAAAATGAAAAATATTTAAAAATGCATAAAACAAAGTTAAAAGCAACAAAACATCCCCTTGTATATGTTGATGTTGTTGCTTTTAACCTTGTTATATGTTTTTTAAATATTTTTCAATTTTGTAATAAAATTGCATGGTATTGCCCACAGAACAGTGACCAGGCGCGTGCATGGGCGCCACAATGTGAACTTGCTGACGCGCATACAGTCAGGTCCATAAATATTGGGACATGGACACAATTCTAACATTTTTGGCTCTATTCACCACCACAATGGATTTGAAATGAAACGAACAAGATGTGCTTTAACTGCAGACTGTCAGCTTTAATTTGAGGGTATTTACATCCAAATCAGGTGAACGGTGTAGGAATTACAACAGTTTGCATATGTGCCTCCCACTTGTTAAGAGACCAAAAGTAATGGGACAATTGGCTTCTCAGCTGTTCCATGGTCAGGTGTGTGTTATTCCCTCATTATCCCAATTACAATGAGCAGATAAAAGGTCCAGAGTTCATTTCAAGTGTGCTATTTGCATTTGGAATCTATTGCTGTCAACTCTCAAGATGAGACCCAAAGAGCTGTCACTATCAGTGAAGCCATCATTAGGCTGAAAAAACAAAACAAACCCATCAGAGAGATAGCAAAAACATTAGGCGTGGCCAAAACAACTGTTTGGTGTGGGAACATTCTTAAAAAGAAGGAACGCACCGGTGAGCTCAGCAACACCAAAAGACCCGGAAGACCACGGAATACAACTGTGGTGGATGACCGAAGAATTCTTTTCGTGGTGAAGAAAACACCCTTCACAACAGTTGGCCAGATCAAGAACACTCTCCAGGAAGTAGGTGTATGTGTGTCAAAGTCACCAATCAAGAGAAGACTTCACCAGAGTGTATACAGAGGGTTCACCACAAGATGGAAACCATTGGTGAGCCTCAAACACAGGAAGGCCAGATTAGAGTTTGCCAAACGACATGTAAAAAAGCCTTCACAGTTCTGGAACAACATCCTATGGACAGATGAGACCGACATCAACTTGTACCAGAGTGATGGGAAGAGAAGAGGATGGAGAAGGAACTGCTCATGATCCTAAGCAGACCACCTCATCAGTGATCATGGTGGTGGTAGTG